TTGCGGATTTTTACGGCTCTGCTGCGCGCTGCGAATTAACCCGACGGATCCCTGCGTTTATTTTAAGACATTTCACGAGTCCGAGTGGCCGCCTGCTGCCCATCAGCTGCTTTAAAGCGACCCGAGTCTTTTCGAGCTGCCTGCTTTGCATTCAGCAGCAGTCGCACAATCACACACGGCCACTCGGGATCCCTTTTGTCATTTAAACTGGCATCAAGTCCGCTCGGAGTATTAGAAAGACCACGATGGTCATTTTAGACTCTAATAGTCCGATCTGATCTCGTACACACATCCGATTGACGGCTGTAATCGCTCTCAGCAGACCGGCGAAGCGCCCTGCATGCTGATGCTGTTAATCGGCTCGAATTTGTCTTGTAAATATAAATGATGCAAAATGACAGCAGACTTTTGCTCGATGTAGGTTCTAGTTTCATCACAGCTGCTTCAGCTGTTTTCACAGACCATGTGTCGTCTAACCTCTGCGGCACCCAATCCCATTTTTACTGCGGAATTATTTAGAAAGTGAAGTACTCACTAGACAAACAAACAAAGGACCCCCCACCCCCTCCACCCCACCCCAGGCTGATGCAGCACAGGGGGTCCCATTCACATGCAAATTATCAATGATTTCCATTCTGCGCGTCAGTGTGGAGAAACCAAAGTATATGGACCCTGCATCAGACGTACACGAATTGGCTTCTCTGTTCCGCCCAGTAAGAATGTTGTAACAGCAGCATTCCTCATTCCGTCTTTCTGTTTTTTTGTCATTTCAGATCAGCCCGAGTTTAACCAGATAGACCAAATCCTGCTGAAGCAGAGCCACACAGCTGCCGTCACCTTCATACTGGAGGCGGTCAAACAAAACGCAGACCAGTCCACGATAAGGTACGAGACGGCACACAGAGCATTTACTGTCCACCCTGTGTGCAGGTGGTGGTTATAAATTGGACACAAACAACCTTATCTGTTGCCCGCATGAGAGTCTCCCTCCCATAACACACGTAACAGCCTGTCCTTATGATACAGATGGATCCTGTAGCCTACACTGCCTACACTTTCTTTTGTTTTCTTTGTGTGTGTGTGTGTGTGTGTGTCGCGCCTTGTTTGACCCTGACCTCAAACCTAACCCTTTCAAAGCGAAGCACCTGAAGTAGCGCGCTATTTACAAGCAGGTCATTTCATGACGTTGAGCCAAAACCGCGCTGTTTTCATGCCTCTAACAATATGCAAGGAGACAATACTTCCAGAATTCACCTCCAAGGGGACTTTTAAGTGTGGTCTTTATGTATAATTACTGCAGAACAAAGCGACTCGGGGTTTTAGTAAAGCATCCGTTGAAGTTCTGAAGCTCGATAGCAGGACTTATTATTCTCATCTTGAAGTAGGTATGAAGGAGCTTGCAAGCTGCCAGTGGAGCCATAATGTCTCCAGCAAATTAGTGCTGTAGTTACGCTGTTATACTTGGATCTGTGGTATTATTTATACATCTCACGAGTTTCTCATATGTAGCATTTTTTCCTCTTTGTTTTGTGTATTTTTTTCAGCTGAAGATTTTTTTCCCCACTTGATCCAAGTGGTGTTGGATGTTCAAGGTGTAGAGGATGAACTGTACGCATGTCCCGAACAAGCAAGCGTTAGTTTAAAGCTGCAAACGCTTTAGATTTCTATTATATTATTATATTATTATTACTGTTATTATTAATAATATTTTACTCATTGCTTCTCCGCAGTCTTAACTGCAAGCAAGTCGGTTTTCAAAGTCTGCTCACAGAACCTGTGCAACAAGCTGAATTAAACTAATTGTTCCTTGGAATTGGATGACGAAAGGAATGCATGCAATTCTGCTGTCTCCATATGAACTCCCTGCTGCTTTATGTAAAGCTGTCTAAGTGGACTTCCTTTCTGGGAACCAGCTGCGTTTTAAAGTATTGTCTTCTCCGTTCAGTTCCAGCCTTGAAGAGCTCACATTCAGCGCAGACAGAACAGAAATATTCTACAGCGCATACCAGGTAGCCTACATTCCAAACTAGGACGCATTTATTTCATCCTTTTTTTTCTTTTGTTGTTTTTTTTTTTGCCAGACTTGCCAGCAGCTAATTGGTGCTTTTTGTTTTGCAGAAACATAAAAAAGATTTGGAGCGTCTTTTAGCAAGGTAAGGCATCGCTGCGTGGTTCGAGCTGGCAGTGCTTAAGAGATTTGTGGGGCTCATGTTATTTTAAGGTGTTTGCTTCGCTCTCTGGGGATGCCATCACAGCCTACTATTGCCTAGGCTTTGTTTGTTTATTTATTATTTATTAATTACTTAATTGTTTTGGTAAAACTCGAGTCGCAAATTTGCACAATTATTAGCCGAATGATTTGACACGTTGAAAACTGGATATTCGAGGTCTGGAACGGATGTGCTAACGTGGGAGGAAGAGGAGATGAGTTGTTGTTCTAGTCAGTATTTAAGCTTCTCCGCGCCAAGATTAACTGACTTGTAAATGTGGATTTATGACGTGCTAACAAACAGCTTTTTGTAGAAGAGCCACCATATATGCAAACGGATTTAACTGCAGAAAACCACCTGATGCGTAAAACCCCTGTGACGCACGGCAACTTTAAGAGTTTTTAAGAGTTTTTTAGGAGTTTTGGTCATATCATTAATTCTCTGCCTCCTCGCCGAATGAATGGGCAATATTTTCTACAGAAGCAAAGATGACTCAGTCTCTCCTGTCTTTCTCTTATAGCATAGGAAGGGGTCTACCTCACATTACCGACGCTTCGTGGCGCCTGGAGTACCACATGAAGGTGAGATCGCGAGACTAATTTCTGTCTGTTAGCGGTATATCATTTGTTGTGTGTTTCTAAAATGTTGCTTCTCCCACAGAACGGGCAGGTGGATAAAGTCAACGATTCTTTCTATTTGATATCACTGAACACTGAGGTAACAGCCGCAGCTTTACTTTTCTACTTTCCAGCATTTATATAAAGTCTGGTATATTTCAATGGGTAACAGGACGCTTATGTTTGCTCCTTCTTTCTTCCTTCCTTTATTTATTTATTATTATTATTTTTTAGAATGAAGGATCCTCAGAGGACATCAACTTTACTTGCACAGTGGAGCAGCTCCAGGTAGAGGAAAACTCTTGGGGTGGATAATTGTCTCGCAATTGCGTCTTACCTGTGCCATTACGCACTACAGTCACATTTATTAGCAGTCCTAAACAATCTAACCACGGAACTTATTGCTCTGTGGTAGCTCTCCTTATCGAAAGGGGTGTGGACCTTTCAGGAAAAAAGTCAACGTGGGAAATTGTAATATTATGTCCATGCGGTAGCTATTTTTTTCTTCACGGATTCTGATTTTGATTGAGACAGAATCGCTACGATCCATCCTTTACTGCAGCTCACTTTAACAGAAAATAATGAACAGACTTGAAAAAGGTTAAAAATGTTTTGTAATCATCGTGGAAACATCAGCAGTGCCTTTTATAAAATCAGAGACCTGCTGATATCAGCAGCTCTGGAATGATTGGATGAATGCAAGCCGTCAGTCATCTTCAGTCTAATCAGCCTGAATCTAAAGTCGGAAATTAGTCTAATCATTGTGCATAAATAATATATCTTTTTATATAAATGGATAAATGTTGATCGGTGTCTGCCTTTTCAGGATTTGGTGGGGAAGTTGAAAGACGCCGCCAAGACTATGGAGAAAGCCAGTCAGATGTGAAGCTTGTGTCCACTTTCGTCCCCTTTATACCTGCCACTGATGTGTCACGTGTGTTATCAACCCAACAAATGTATTTGAAAGAAAAATAAAATAAATAAAATCTTCTTTGTTCTTTGACTGATTTCAGGATTTTGGTGTGTTACACGTCTTCCAAGAACTTCCCCTTTAGGACTGGAGAAAAATATTTTATTAAAAGATTAATTTGAACGTGTGTACAGTAAAGAAACTACACCCTCGCGTTGTTTAAACAGCTTGTGTAGGATTTCTGACATAGCTGCACGACAGCGGTGTCTTTTTTTCTTTCTTTCTCTCGAAGTATTTGTTACCACAAGAGTTTCAGCCCAGCCTTTCTTGAGATCTCTATTTTTAAAAGGCTATTATCAGAGATCTACGGCTTTCTCGCGTCATGAGAATTTTAGTCCATTCACTAAAAAACAAAACAAAACAAACAAACAAAAATAAAGCTCCCCGAGCTTTTTTGCGTCCACCTCAGCTTGAAAAGTTCAAAGCTCCTCAGCTGAAGCAGCACGGCGGCTCGGATTCCGTAAACATCCGAGATGCCATCGTTTTCAGCGGAGGGTTAAGGCTCCAATTCATCAAGTGTGGAAGTTTATTCTTCTTCTTTTCTGCACAGCGTGTCAGGACAGACTGTGACAAAGGTTTGACACCAGGGCCATTTGTCATATTGGCGTATTTTCCACCAAGTGCGTGGGATCTTCAAAGCAATGAGCTGGATAGCTTAATAAGACAGCCACTTGGTACCTCAATAGATTTTGATGCGTTTGATGGTCAAAACGACACGAAGTTGTGCGAGCGCGTGTGCTGCTGCTGTTATTTTTGACATCAGAAAGAGGGCACACCGAGAGCCTACTTTCTACATCTGCCTGCTCCAACCATTGTGCCCTTCGCTTTCTTTCTTTTCTTTTAAATTTTGGATACCCATCAGGACATATTGAGCCTCGTCGTGCTGAAAAGCGACCCAAGCTGCATGGATGTGCACCGTGTGTTATTTTAAATCATGCGTCACACTTAAAAAAAAGACCAGAATAGATCGACAGTAATTTGTGAGCGCCCTTAAGCAGCTTCTCGGTGTCGTTTCAGGTCGAGAAAAAGGCACAAACCGCTAAAATAAAGATATGTTTGTTAAAAACGCGCCCATCGCCTGTAAATCAGCCTTTTTCCCTTCACGTCTTTGCTACTTTGCACATACGTAGATCAGTAGAAACAGCATACACCGACAGTAATTTCTAGGCACCCTTAAGCAACCAGACCACGTGACCAGAGCGGGGCGGTCGAACTACAAGCCATTTTGGGGACGGTGTCAGTTTCCACGGAGCACACACACACACTGCTGCGTTTTACTGGGGGGCGAAGCGGATATTTTGGAGGCAAAGTTATCGGTGCCGAAGTGGGAAGCTTTCCGAGCCGGAGCCGAAGGACCGGGATCTCTTGGAAGGCGTCTGTCGGACACGCACACGCCGCGCAATCGCCGAGGAAACGGGGAGTTTTTATTCGCACATCTGAAATGCGCTCCAGTCCGCCGTGCGCTCTCCGCCACTGACAGCGTCTGCAGCCTGCTTCAAGATGGCGGCTCTACTCCTATTCATTTTCTGCTGATCGCCTCCCAACTTTCATTGTCTACTCGCCTCGGTGCCCACCGATTCCCGGCCGAACCTTCAGGTACGTCTCCTTCGATATCGTCTCTAACTAACGGGGCGAAAGGGCGAGGTTTGGGCTTTGTGTCTTTGTGTTTTCCCCCCGCTACGTCCAGCGGTGGATGTGGAGCTTTCAACGGTGGCTGCAGCGATCACCGACGTGGAGCTCCGTGTGTGGGTCTGCGCACCACTTTTCCCCCCCAGCAAAAGATGTTCCCCGCTCGGCTATAAACGCCAATTAAGGGTCGGGCACATTCGCTCCTGCTTCTCCTATCGTTCAGTTACGCGTCCGTATAAGTTGGTCACGGTTCGGGTTTGCATTGCGTCGTTGGGATTTATGTAAAGTGGGAGACCCGAGGCGAACCAGGCTGTGTTGGCTGCGATGCGAGGAGCAGCAAGTGCTTCAAACGGTCCCCCTGCGTTCGTGTTTCCACGTAGAGTCTTCATTTTATAGAGTTTGGATCTTTGGGGTGATGGGAATTGGGTGGCAGGTTGGTTTTCGGTGAACGTGACCGGATGTTGGATTTATTAACTTAACTTGGATCGCTCCCGTGAACGTGCCAGGGAGGCAAACCGTTTCCACCGAGCATAAATGTTTCATGACGGCTGCTTTGTAAACACTGGATTGTCGTTAAACGCGTATACGGACTACAACTGGCTGTTTACGTTTTGGTGTGTGCTTGTCCTGAGTGGGAAGGATGGTTATTAAATTTAAATTTAAAGAAGAAATTAAGAAGGGAGAGAGAGAAAAAAAATTGGCGACTACAAAGGAGTGGCTGTGCCTCTCCAGGCAGTCTGAAGCTCTGGTAATTCCACTTAAATTCACATGAGCTGTAGCCAACACAGACTGTTTGTTTGACAATTAAAAGCTCATTATGGATCGCAATAATTCCCACCTTTATACGGTCTGTGTGTTGGCGCACACTGTAGCTCCCAGTCTGGTGATGGGCGCAAGCTAGTGTTTCCTCTGTAGAGAGCGAGGGGGGGTAAAAAATTATCATTTTACCCATGAACGCTGGTGTAGACCTTGTGTGCACTTATAATGGGTTAAATGAATCTATCCCCCCGAAACACACACTCCACCACCACCCGCTTGGTTTTTGCAGGTTGACAGGCTCACATGTGTGTGAATAGGAGCGATCATGTAGCCCAGCAGACTGGATGGAGTACATCCACTGAGTAGGGAGGCATTTACACGGAATAAACGTAATTCCTTTGATACGTTTTAGTCCTGTGGTCAGTTCTAATCAGGAGCTATTTAAGCCACGGTTTTCTAAATGAACTCACAGCGGCTGATGTGTTTCTTCTCCTTCTTTTCTTTTTGCCATCCCAGTTTTTTTTAATTGGGTTATTTCCAGCTTCTGTTGATCTACATGTAAGAGGTGAACGCTTTACAAGAGGAACTGGTCTCGTCTGGGAATAAATTAGGTTAGCACGGCTTTTACGGGTCACTACAGAAACCGATGGAAATCTCCAATTTAACGTGTCTTGTTTGAAAGAATTTAAGATGTACTAGTTGTGGAGAAATAATTGATGGCCTGCTGTCAGCACCAGCTACAGCTTAAGCCAAATTATCAGTAAAAAAATAAAATAAAATAGAGGAAAGCCCGTGTTGTGCACAAACCTCTGCATTCAGCGTATTCCCAACTGAATCCAGACTGTATTGTTTGATTTTTGGCCATTCAGCAATATTCGTTCCCAAAGCGTATTAACTTTATTTTGGATTTCTTGGCTGACCTGACTTGAAGTCTTATAAAGTGAGTAGGCAGGTCACACACACACACACCCTGGCAGAGGGGAAAGCAGTTGTCCAAACACCAGCCAATCGATTAATGGCGCAACAGGCTCCCTGCATATATGTAGGCATTATCCATCATTATCCGTGTGTGAGGCATCCTTTGAACCGATTTGCTGTCCAAACTTGCCCGCAGTGGTCTGTTCACAGGCGGCCAAGGAGAGGTCGGTTGAAGCATTGAAAAGCAGCCGGGACTCGGGCATGGTGCCGACTGTGGCTCCATAAAGTAACAGTGTGGGTTCCGAGCTGGGCAGGCTGGCTCTCATCCAGCGTTTAAAGAGGGCTCACCCGCTCATATTCACTCTTTACCCCGGATAGACTTTTAATGATTGCATTAAATTAAAAATAAAAATAAAAAATGACAGCACCCAGCCGCGATAATCTTTACAAGTCCAACTTTAAAAAACAAAAAAGTGCGCCAGACTGGTCATCTTTTTCGAGACCAATTTGCCCACCGGATCGTAACTACCGGATAAAAATCTGAAGACCGGGATCCTTTGGCATCTGGTGACTTTACTCTACCGCCCTCGCTTTTTTGTTGAAATGCACTCGAGCACAGAGTGTAGCCTACATTCGACATTCGTGTTTGATACATGGACTGTGCGGTGCTTGAACTGGAAATGGCGCAGAATAAATGGTTTGTAATGACCCAGCGTGCGCCTCAACTTCGGCGCAGTCGCTGGCGTCTGGCCATATTGGTGCTGCGCGGTGTTGATGAAAAAAGCGCAAAGCGAATCAAAATAAAGCTGAAATCTCTCTCTCTCTCTCCCGGTCGGACTCGGACGCTCCTCTGTGTCTGGCTCACAGATACATAAAGCTCGTGTAAACACCTCGGGGTGGGCTTCATTCGCCCCCGTTAGTAGGAAACCCCGCAGCCCGTTGAACCGATACATGCTTCTTTTTTTCCTCCACAAAATGGCAGCCGTGCTGTCGGCAGCCTGGCAGCCCAGCGGCTGTGTGTGTGTGCACGGAGGGACTCGGAGACTCTGTCCTTCCTCGTTCCCACTCTGCACACGGGCACGGCTCGCCGTGTTGTTTTTGTTTAGACATGCTGTCGTTCTGGTCACTGGCGACGAGCCATGTGGGCTAAAAAAGCAAACGGGGTTGCCATAGAAACGCTCAGGTTTCCCCGTGGCTTGTGTGGCACACCTGACGCAGTGAGTGGGTGCCTCATATTACCCACCCCCCTGCGCGCGCGCGCGCACACACACACACACACACACACACACACACACACACACACACACACACACACACACACACACACACACTTTCACCCAGTCACCCCGGTGCGCCCGTGTGGATGATATTAGCCCACTAATATTGGCAAAATTCGCCAAACCCCACAGAACATGGCAACCCAGTAAGGGGGTTACCCACTTAACTAAAGGTTTCGGTGCTAGCTGGGTCTGATTTATTTAATTTTTCACATTGTCACAGGTTTTCGTTTTTACCCCCACATTTGCGCTCTTGGTTTAAACCGTTTTCGATTTCGCTTAGAGTTTAAACCATCCATGTTTTTAAAAGTGCGCGCAAATCTGAAGTTGCGGGAGGTCAATATTCCCGTGCCGTGCCTCAGATTTGGTTCCTCAAAGCTCGACCGCTGCTGCCGCTACTATGTCATTAAAGATGCTGAGCTAAGGCGAAGGAAAGTGGGGAGCGCACGGCTCCATCGATCTCAGCGGAAGTGATTGATTTATGATTATTCGCCGCTGCCTGTAAATCTGCCAACGAACGTCTTTCCCTCTGGTTATTTCTGGATCGGCATAAAGGTTGATGTTGCTTTATCACAGTCCAAGCAAACAGCAGTCTCGTCCAAATGCTCCGCCGTGCGTTGACAAACCTCTGCGTGCTTTTGTTTTGACCTGTGCTCCTTCTGCGTGCAGGGATTGTTGTTCCTTCCTCTCAACATGCATCGGACGACCAGGATAAAGATTACCGAGCTCAACCCTCACCTCATGTGCGTTCTGTGTGGAGGATACTTCATAGATGCAACCACCATCATCGAATGTCTTCATTCATGTGAGCAAAACTCGTCTAATTTCATTTCATTTAATTTTTTTATGGGTCAAAATCAGTTCATATCACCCGAAGCTGCTAAATGTGAGATATGTTGGATTAAATTTAAACATTCCCAGTCTTCTTTTTTCAGTGCTGCAAAATGTATTTCTTGCTCTTGCTCTCTTTTAAACTAAATTTGGCTCCTCAGGAAATGCTTTCAGATCTCATCAGACATTAACAGTTTTTTTTCATCTGTTTTGCAGTTTGCAAGATGTGCATTGTGCGCTATCTGGAAACCAGCAAATACTGTCCCATCTGTGATGTACAAGTGCACAAAACCAAGCCACTGCTCAACATTAGGTGAGAACTGTGCTTACCATGCTCTCTGCATTTTGCTCAGCTGCCCCCGTTGTTATTGTTACCTTTTTCAGGGCCCATATAAATTTGGTTCTAAAAGTTTAGTGACGCCCGATGGCTTGAATTTAACCCCTTAAATATGATTTTTCTGTTCTTTTTAAACAGTGTAGAACGTATATTTTCTGCCTTTGCAATCTTAAGCGAATACATTACTTGTTTTCGGTTTCCTTCCCTTTGTGGGTTCCCCACTAAACAGCTGAATCAGCCTCTGATTTAAACATTCAGACATGAGAAACACATGTAGGCGTGTAGGCGACATGACATGTTTGAGGTTTTCCACAGCGATGAATACTGGTCTCATTTTTTCAGACAAGAATTGGTTTTAAATACTTGACTGAAGTTTCTTTTCCTCTCTCTCTCTCTTTAGGTCTGACAAAACTTTACAGGACATTGTGTACAAACTGGTCCCCGGCCTCTTCAAAAGTAAGAGTCGCATTTTTACTGTTCAGTCTGACTTTTGCACGTAAATTTGTCTCTGCAAGTATATTAAAATAAGAATAAATGAACATTACCGATGAGGGTATATGTAATGGCATTTGGATATGGTGTTTATGTTGTGTAGTGGAAAGCTTTGCATTGAAAAACTTGAAGTTTCATCTTGACAGTTAATTATTTGTTGTAAAGTGCAGAGGGGTGTTGAATTGGGATGACGCTGAGTGTTATGGTCATCAAATCTGTCTGCTTTTCTTGCTGCGAGCACTAGAAGTTCATTAAAACAAGCTGAGACAGGTTCAAGCAAAACAGTTTTCAGGGTCATGTCTCATATCACCCATCTGTAAGACCGAAATGTTGGAGAATCAAATCATTATTTCCATGAATTCTCACATCGATGCCACAGTTTTAATCTAGCTTTTCTTGTGTTTCGACAAATATTTATTCCTGGAAGTCACAATATTAAGGGTCGCTGAGAACTCACATGGTTTCTGAAATAAGGTAATAGTGGGAAGTGAAAGTGAATGGATTGGTAATAACACGCCTTTCTGAATGTCTTCAGATGAGATGAAGAGGAGAAGAGACTTTTACGCAGAGCACCCCGTAGATGGTGAGTCAGAAAGAAAATGTTCTTTTCTTTCTTTCTTTTTTTTTTCTTTTGGCGAAATATTTTCCACATCAGAGAGTCTGCTGCGCTGTAAACGCAACATATAAACCCACCCTCACATCCAGCCGTGCATGTGTGTGTTTCTATAGCGTCTAATGGAACAAATGAAGATCGTGGAGAGGTAGCAGATGAGGACAAGAGAATTATTACAGACGATGAGATCATCAGCCTCTCTATTGAGTTCTTTGATCAAAGCAGGTACGCTTGTATTAAAAATACATGGAAATGGAAAATAGTTGTTCCTAAAAGACTACAAAATCTAATATTTATAGAGGTTTCTCGTTATACAGCTGGTATGATACGCTTACAGATATTGCTCCACTATAGCCGATATTATCAGTCTGCTCTAGAATCATCAAAACTAGCTTAACTGACGCTGGTACCATGTTTTATAGATCAAAATACGACATGTCCTACCCACAGTGTGATGTAATGAACAGAAATAGGATCAAGCGTATAATATGACAGATTTTGGTTTTTGTATTCAAATGCCTTTTAATTAATTTTTTTTTAATGGTGTGTAAATTTTAGCTGCCTTTGCTGTCATTATAAAATAATATTCAAGACTTTATTTTAAGTTTATTCTAATGTCTGGAATTTGCCAAAATACTTGACTACAGTAATACTTCACAAAAAAGTACTGCATGAAACATAGTATGTTTAAAAAGAATTTTTTTAAAATAATCTTTCAAAATTTGAATTCTGTTGCTAACTCTGTGTGACTTAGTTTTAGAGTTATACATACGCTGGAAAGTTACTCATGTTTTTCCTCTGTTTTTTGGCGCACAGACTGGGAGGAGCAGTGGAGGACAAGCAGTCAAAAGATCAGGTATCGCACGTTGACTTAGCCACATTTTTGTTTCTGTCATTTTTTTTCATCTTTGCTAACACTTTAGGATTAAAACAGCCTTAGAATAAGGGATAATCAAACATGTGTGGAGACAAACAATTATAATTATGTTCTCTCCAGTGGTAAAGGGCTACATTGTTTTTGCTGCTTTTAAGGTGGACCAGCCTGTGTGTAGATTCTAGTCATTAAATGTTTTATTCCACACGTATGTATATACATATGTATTTTGATTTATTTTTTGTTATAATGTGTTTTATCTGCAGGTGGCTAACAAGAGGTACTTGCAGTGTCCAGCAGCCATGACAGTTATGCATCTGAGAAAGTTTCTGCGCAGCAAAATGGACATCCCAAACACCTACCAGGTCTGTTTAGTTTAATTATTTATTTATTTTCAGAGATACTTACTATAAATGTATCACAAAAAACTGAGAGATATCTTATTTACATATTTAATGATTTCCTCTTACAAAAGGTTATTGCGAAAAACAAAAACAATAAAAAATAAATAAATAAACCCATTCTTTTTTTTTTCCTCTTAAGGTTGAAGTCATGTATGAAGATGAACCTCTGAAAGATTACTACACGCTAATGGATATAGCATATATCTATACTTGGAGAAGGGTAAGAAATATTTTTGCACATTTTTAGAAAGCTAAGGTTTTTTTTGTTTGTTTTTTATCTCAAGATGTGATTAATACACTGCAATTATTGAGTTGTAATTGCAGTGTATTAATTTTTATTGATACACTGCAGTATATTAATAATATTTTCTTTGTTAAATAAAACCATCTCCCTCGGTGTCAGTTAATGTATTTAATCACAATTTATTTTTAAAAATACATTTAATATCAACAAAATTAGGTACTTTTAAAATTTCACCTTGAGACATAAATAGAATAGATACTTACGTTTTGATTGCTGAGCTTTTAAAATATTATTTTATCATTGCGTTGAAGTTTTTGTATATTGTTATATATAGGTTTTTATCGCTTTGTTGTAGCTGGTGTTGTATAGTGTGCGGTCAGTTAAATATAGATATTTTTCTGCTTGTTTATTTTAGTCTTCAAAAACACAAAATCTCCAAATGGGGAAGCTGTTCGAGAAAGAGGGTTTTTGTTCATACATGTTGTTAAAGATGCCAAAATTTAAATAAATAATAATAATTTAAAAAAAAACATATTTACAATATTAAAAACGTTTAAAATTTACGATCAGTTTCCGTTTAAGATTTTAGTCAAATGAACACATACATAACCATGGACATGGTTATATTCGAATTTGTATGGTATCATGTTTTTGTACTCAACCTGAAATAATATGTACTTTGAACATTATTAAATTTTATGTTGCCCCTTTATATATATATATGTGTGTGTGTGTGTGTGTGTGTGTGTGTGTATCAGGGACATTCTGCAATTAGTTATGGTTTTCTATCATGTGTATGCAAAAAGGGGGGAGGGGCAACAAAGGGCACAAGATCTTTATGCCATATGTGGCCTCTGAAACTAACCGCTTTAGATGTATCTGGGTTACTGAGTTGAAAGTAGCAAGTTTATAACAAAACTTGCTACTTTCTGGTCTGGTTATCAAAGTGAATGTACGCCAGGACATGACTGGATCTTGATCTCTATAGAGTAGTGATTAAAAATGGAAATTTGGGGTTAAAAAGTAAATGACCCCCACATATCTTTCCAAGTTTTTTTTTTTGCAAATAAATGAATCAATTCCGTAAAAAAAAATCAAAAACAAGTTTAAAAATTGTAGAAGAAACCCATTAATAAATTAGTTTTTACGACTTTTTTTTACGAATAAAATAGGTTAGATGACCCCGCTTGGTCACTTCAGGGTTAGTTGAGTAACTAATTAAATAAAAAAATAATAATAATTAAAAAAAACTGAATAAAGTTCCTAAAAATGGCGCCAACCCCATTTACAGTTTAAGTTTTAATGTTTTAATAACTTCTTCTCCTCTTCCGCAGAACGGCCCGCTGCCGCTGAAGTACCGAGTCCGACCCAACTGTAAGAAGATGAAGGTGAGCCACGCGCAGCAGGAAGGTCAGAACAGCGCGAGCAGATCCGGGCAGGAGAGCGACTCTGCCAGCGACAAAGCCGGAAGTCCAGCCGGGGCTCCGTCCACGTCCTCGTCTCTGCCGAGCCCCGGCACGCCTGCGCAGTCCCCGCACCCGCACGGCAACAGCAACAACAACAGCAGCGGCTGCACAGTCAACGGGACTCCCACCGCCACAGCCCCGAGCCCTAGCCGACCCTTCACCCAGTTCTGCGGCGGCAACGGCGGCAAACCCCGAAAGGTTTCTCTGAACGGCTCGTCGACCTCATCCGGATGACGCGGGGCTCCAAGCAGTGCCGGACCAGACCAGCCAACGCCAGACACCCGCTCAGCTAATACTGTTTTCATGCCAACGTAGTTACATTGTGTAGACAATGTGCTCTCTCTCTCTCTCTCTCTCTCTCTCTCTCTCTCTCTCTCTCTCTCTCTCTCTCTCCATTTGTTGTTCTCAATATTATGGCGTCATCTGTAAGTTTAAACGTAGTGGAATCGGAGACATTTCAAAATAAAATAAAAAAAGAAAGAAAGAAGAAAGGAAAAGCGGCGTGGGAATTTTGAAAAGAAAACGAGATGTCGAGGGTGGAGGAGGAGGGGAAAAGGAAGTTTGGAAGGATGGAGAAGGACAAACATGTACTTTTTTTTGAAAGAAAAAGCTGCATCTTTATTTTCCTGAAGTGACTGAAGGTGACTCTTCTGTTCCTGTTTTCACGTCTTTCAAATTAAAAGTGTTTATCATGATTACTTCATGTGCGTGTGGGGTGGAAACTTTAAACATGCATGCTCATGGTAGCGCCACTTTCCTTATTTTATTTTTCATTTTTTTTTTGGTCTCAGAGAAGATTCGCTTGTTTGTCCCATGAGTGTAATTTTGGACGTTTTTTTTCTTTTCTTTTTTTTAAAGAAGTGTCCAGGCACACCTTGTACCAATGAAAGGAGAAAACAAAAAAGTTTGTATAGGGCTGTAGGGTGGACAAAAAACCTACGGAAGAAGAATCGACTTTACTTTTTACTGGAAGAAGAAAAACGTTTCTTGTAACTGCAGTGGACTCGGATTGCTCGTCCTCCACGACTTTAACGCTCCGTTTTAGAGAATCCGTGTGTAAATAGAAGCAAAATGCATATTTAATCAGCGGCGATGTTATTCTCTTATTCCCCTTTATTCCGTGGGGATGACTTGGGCTCCTCTTCAGCTTCATTTCATGCTCAACGACAGATGTTTTGATGTCTCTTTGTTTGTTTTTTGTTTTTTTCTTGTGTTTTTTTTTCTTTCCGTATTTGTATCGCTCGATTGTATGGACAAGTTATTGTATTGTTACTGTTGCACAGTATAAAACATCTAAATAAAACATTTTACACTTACTGGCAAAGTCACTTCGATTTTTTTTCTTTCTCCTCTTGAATTTTGGGAGATCATCGATCAGTTTGATGGGTGTAAAATGAAAAAGTCGAACTAAAAGGCAGACAGAGCGCCAGATGTCAGTCTGAATGAGCAGGATTTAGTATGACTCGGTTAGAGAGGCAGGCTCTGCACAGCAAGGACGTGGAGGAGAACTGGCTGGTAAAGAGATAAACCACTGTTTATTCGTTCAGACCTAATTTTGATTTGTTTAACAAGTGGCCTGATTAGACTTCACCGATTTAATCAAAGTATAATTTAAAATGTGTAATTATACAAAAACTACGCTAAAATTGTTGTTTTTCTCTCTGTGATAAGTTATTTTTTGTTTCATTATTGTTATTATTATTTTATTTAGTTTTGCGTTACGCTGAGTATTTATGACTGTAAAAGATGTGATCGATATATATATGTGTAGTGTCATACATGGTGTGTATATATATATATATATATATATATATATTATATATATATATATGTATATATATATGTATATATATATATATATATATATATATGATTGTTGTGTATATTTGTATATATGTATATATATATGTATATATATATATATGTTGTTTATATGTGTGTATATATGTATATATATATGTAATATATATGTATATGTATATATGATATGTATATATGTATATATATATATGTTATATATATGTATGATATTATATATATAGTATATATAGTGATATATATGATATAGATATATATATATATATAGATATATATAGATATATAATAATAGATAGATATAGAATATAGATATAGATAGATATAGATAGATAGATATAGATATATAATATAGATATATATAATATATATATAGATAGTATGATATATATAGATAGATAGATATATATATATAGATATATATGATATATATATAGATCACCATATATATAGATATATATATATATATACTATATATATATATAGAATAGAATATATATAGAATATATATATTATTATATTTATATTATATTTCATGGGTCGCTATCATATATATCATACTCTATATCTCTATAATACTATCTATATTATCTATCTATTATATCATATATCTATATCTATCTTATATATCTATATCTATATCTATTATCTATCTATCTATCTTATCTATCTATCTATCTATCTATCTATCTATACTCTATCTATATTATCTATATTATCTATATATATATATATATATATATATATAGTCGTGTATATATATATATATCATATATATCTATATATATATATATTATACGTGTTATTGTTTTATTTTTCTCCTATTAATCTATCTATCTATTTTTTACATTTTTTATTTAAAAAAAATCCCCCGAGAAATAATAAAAAAATGCAAACGAAAACACAACAAAGGTAAAATTAAAAAAAAAAACAACAAAGAAAAACGAAAAAAATAAAAATAAAAAAATAATCATATAAAGGCTCATATAGAAATATGCTCCACTTCCTGCAGCCTTCATATTTTATTTGGGGAAACCTCCCAAGAAAGCGAAGTAAAACGAAATACTTGCGTATTAATATTTACACAGAATGAGGTGTTATCTGGCGCCAAACTTAGTTACAATAGAGCTAAGAAAATTAATAAAAAAGAAAAGATAGTAAAATCGACTTTTCCTTGCATTTAGAAAACAAAATAATAATATGAATCCTATACGTAAAAGTTGCCAATATTTCAAATGTAGGCTAGCAGATGCAGACAGGTTTGCAAACTCCCGCTAACAAGTTTAAGTAAGAAATAAATAGGATCAGCCATTTAACTCCTATAGGCAAACCTTTTTACACTGTCATGAGCGCATAAGCCTTTTTTAAAAAATAATCATTTATTAATAGACGGAGTTTCCTCTGTCGCCTGATTACATTTATTACTCTTTTCCCCACTAAAACAAGATATGAAACTGATCGATATTTTAGAGACAACAAAAACAATAACGACTATTCGGACCATGTCACTTATTAAATTTTAAGTTACCCCATTCATTCATTCATTCATTCATTCATTCATTCATTCATTCATTCATTCATTCATTCATTCATTCATTCATTTATAGCAACGACATTATTTAGAGCGGTCTACATGAGCTCATCCAGGGAGGTTATATGAGGACACATGTAGGGATTAAAAAAATAAAAGAAACTCATGTTGAGAGCTCACTCATAATGCACGCTGTGTTTTCACTTTCTTCAGTTTTTGCCGCTTTCATTTTTCGTTTTTCTGTTCAATAAATCCCCGCAGAGTGAGACAGCGTCGTGTTTTAGCGGGAACTGAAAACAGCGCAAAGTGAACCTAGGAAGTCCTTAGATCTCTCACTTTGAACACTTTTTCGGAAAACACGAGCCGTGGCGAGCGGACACGAGCGTACCGGGAGTGATTCATCACTCTTTTTTTCCTAGTAGACGATCTTCGACGAGGACACACTGCGTCCCGTCTGTTGCCGTGGCGACCGGTAATCACAACACTACCTGTTGAGGACCAGACCTTGAAAAATAGCACCGTGTTTCGTTGGAAGCAGGAAGATAACGGTGTAAAAAGTGTGAGAGGACGCGGTATCCATCAATACCGCACATTACACCACAATGTCGCAGCGCCACGTCGTTCAAGGTGAGCTTCATGAGGTGTAGTGATGAGGCCGAGCGGATATTTCACTCCACTGTTTTCACGCCTTCCGTCTGTTCTGTCACTTCTGTTACTTCTGTTCTCTGCAGTTTTCGAACAATATCAGAAAGCGAGGATGCAGTTTGTGCAAACTGTCGCTGATCTCGCGAACCGGCCACAAAATATAGAACTACTCCAAAATGCAGGTAAGACAGCCGACATCTGCTTCCTTTACTCACTCCTTGCCAGGGTTGGGACAAAAAATCGACTAGAGACCGGCCCACCAGGTGTTATAAGTAAAGCTATAAAGCCTTTGAAAACAAATGCTGTTGTGACAGTGATGTACACTGTCTTGTTGGTATATATGTATGATTTCTATACATTTGACATCAGTTGACCACTTTGGTTGAAAGATTCAGATAATTATTTATTAAAAGCTAGACATTTTAAATGAGAATAAGAAAGAAAAGTATTTCTTTGTGCCCCCCTTCCCTGTTAATGCCCACCTGGCCCACTGGCAAAAGTTACCAGCTGTCAGCTACGTAGAAAAATCCTGGTGTTGTCTCTCAGAAACAGTTCATAACTTCCCTTCAACTCATTCATGTCACCTAAAAGGTAAACATGTTTCTCCATCACCTGTTCAGCTCTGATGATTCAGTCAGGACATCTCCTGGTTTCATCATGACCAGCACCTTTACGGCTGTGGCTCCAGCAAACATCAGCTGATACTAGAACGTAATATTAAATAAAATATCAAGCTTAAACGTGCTTCTGTGGTTTAAGCGCAAGATCTGCTGGTTTCCTCTTTCTGGGACAAAGTGGGCGATAAACAAACAAGAGCCCAGCCCAGCTGTGCTCCTGCCCCCTCCTCTCCTCACCTCTGTTTTCCTGCAGGTGTGATGTCCCTGCTGCGCCCCTTGATGCTTGATGTTGTCCCCAGTATCCAGCATACAGCAGCTTTGGCTCTGGGCCGCCTGGCAGACAACAGTGAGGACCTCGCAGAGGCTGTGGTGAAGGAAGACATCTTGCCACAGCTGGCCCATTCCCTGGCCTTGCAGAATGTGAGCATCCAATCTTCCTGACAATTTTCTACTTCAGTTTGATTTTCCAGTTTTGATCTGTTTGTGTGTGTGTGTGTGTGTGTGATAGAGAGAGAGAGAGAGAGAGAGAGAGAGAGAGAGAGAGAGAGAGAGAGAGAGGGAGGAAAGAGGCAGTCAGTGGCTGTCACCCTTTAGGACCTCAGGGTCAGCCATTTGAATGTGAGAATGTGTGTTGGGGTAACTTGCCCGCCTGGGGGCTACTTCAAAACCTAAGAGCAAGCAGACCTTTGTTTCCTCTTTCTTTTTGCTGTCAGCCCACTCAGAGGCTCAAAATGCAGTTTTTTTTCTTGTTTTCTTAATATTAAAATTTGTTGTTATTGTATTTGTCAAATAAGACGAAAGTAAAACCAAACACACAAAAAGCCCTCCTCTAAAACAAGTAGAAAATAAGATCACAGTGCTTTGCAGATTTTAAAAGTGAGGTGACAACCCCCAACATACCATCTGTTTACAGAGACCAACCTGGGGCCTCCTTAAAAGCTCAAAAATAAATATCAGAGTGAGATTTCTGTGGTAGCTCACGGAGCAGAAAGAAAAACACGCCTTTTCCAAAATCTCCCAGGATCTAGTGATTTTGTACGCCACAGCACGGGAATCATGGGAAGGGAATTGCAATGTTTCATCATGGGGTAAAAAGAGATCATTTTAGAAATTTTTTGTATTGATTTGCAGTGATTTCTTTTCCTGTAGGGGAGCAAGTGGACCAAACCCCACCCGACAGCAAAATACTAATCAGGAAGCCCAACAGAATTAACACATCCCCTCACTGCACTGTGTGGCTGTATATATTATTTTATTTACATACTTTGTAGGAAAGCTTCAGAGCACAGAAGCCATATTTCTGGACATTTTTAGAGAAACCCATGCAGCAAAAATGTAAAATATTTAATATGATTTACGTAAGATGACAGTTTAATTGAAGGGTGCAGATCATTTTAAAAACTGATGCAGGTGTCTGTGTATGTTTGTGTGCAGAGGTTCTATAAGAAGGCAGCAGCATTTGTTCTGCGTGCAGTAGCCAAACACTCCCCAGAGCTGTCGCAGGCTGTGGTGGCCTGCAGGGGGGTGGACGCTCTGGTTCTGTGCCTGGAGGAGTTTGACCCCGGGGTGAAGGAGGCTGCTGCCTGGGCTTTGGGCAACATTGCACGACACAATGCGGGTTAGGAGGGTACACTCATCAAGAAGCTGATAGAGAATGACTTCATGGAGTGATTTCATAGTTCGAGCATGCAACACTTTATGATTTACTACATTTTTCTAACATCATTCTTTGTTTCACAGTTTTTTGCGTGTGTATGTGTTCACCGCCTTTTCCTCCTCTCCCATGCAGCCTTGTCTCAGTCAGTGGTGGACGCGGGTGCCGTTCCCCTGCTGGTCTTGAGTCTTCTGGAGCCAGAGATGGCCCTCAAACGCATCGCAGCCTCCACTCTCAGTGACATCTCCAAACACACGCCAGAGCTGGCACAGACTGTGGTGGACACTGGAGCCATCGCACACCTGGCACAGATGATCCTCAGCCCAGACACCAAGCTCAAGGTGAGGCCCTAATGACTGTTTCGATGTCTCGTCAGAACAGCGGATGCTTTAGCTCAGGTTAACATGTGTCAAAATGCGAATCAAAGAAACGCCAGCCTTATTTAAATACATTAATTCATTATTTTTACACAGTAATTTATAATCTTTTTAAATAACTTATTTGGGTTTTTTTTTGTTAAATGTTTAAAAGAAACACAATAAATAAAAAAGTAGTCAAAACATAAAGTGTAAAGCCTCAGAATATTAATGATTTTTATGCTAAAATATGTCATCTAGACATGGGTACATTAGCAATGTGTACTGTGATTTTCCAACACTTACTACACAATTTATGTAAATTTAAGGTGTACTTTTCAGTACTTAAAATACGTATCCGTCCCTAATTATCTTTAAAATGTAGGAAGAGTAGAATGAGGACCTAACAAGTGGCAGTTTTAAAGAGAACAAATTATATTCTAAATATTTTTGGATCACTGAATACTTTTGGAGTATAAAAGTAAGGATTTCCATATTCTACTTTACGTTGATCTTTTTTATGTAATGGATATTTTTGAAATATTTTGGTGTAAATGATAAACAATTATCATTACGGGTGTGGGTAGTATTATTTTAAAAAAGTATGTATGTTAGTGTGTACTATAAGAATTTTTTTATTTGTACAAAAATATGACAGAATAATTACAACCACGCAAGGAGTTGTTCTTTTTTTGTGCTACTTAGCAACTCCATTGATTCACATTTCAAAAAGTGTTATCCTGTCCTGGGATAATTTATTATTTCTGACTTACTAAAATATTCCTGCAGAATTTTATTTTGAAATGTTGGCATGAAAATATCTTTCACCGTGAATACTTAAGAGGAAACTTTATTCAGTGCAGACCTCTTGAGCACAAATTCTGATTGTACAAAATTCAGTTAAAGCTTATAAATGATCAGTGTTTTAAAATCTGCGAGGCTTAAATATTGAAAAAAAAAAGTCTTGTGTAAAATATGAAAATCATTTTTTTATAAGGACACTTTCTGAAACCAATCACTGTTAAAAAAAATTAACATGCTTAGAATTTGGATAGGTTTTCACTTTCAGACGGAGTTATACATTATGTTCTAATTTCTTGTTAATAAAACAAAATTACCAGAAGGAAAAGATGCTGTAAATTTAAATGGAGAACATGCAGTATTGACTTAATCTCCATTTCAACACTGTAAATGATCTCTGAAAATATTCAGGCATCTTTTTTGTCTCCATCTAGAGGCAGGTGTTCGCTGCCCTCACTCAGATCAGCAAGCACTCCGTGAGCCTGGCAGAGATGGTGATAGAAGCTGAGATCTTCCCCGCAGCCATGTCCTGTCTCAGAGATCCAGATGAGTACGTCAAGAAAAATGTCGTCACCCTAATGAGGGAGGTGGTGAAACACACTCCAGAGGTACGGCGCGCACTCACATTTGCAGGCACAAACGCACACAAAAGAGACGCACAGTCAAGTGCCTGCATGCGTGTTTTGTTTTCCCAGCTGGCCCAGGTGATTGTGAACTGTGGGGGCTTGGAAGCAGTGATTGACTACCTGGGCAATTGCCATGGAAACGTGCGTTTGCCTGGCATTATGATGCTGGGATATGTGGCAGCTCACAGTGAAAGCCTTGCCATGGCTGTCATTGTCTCTAAGGTGGTAATAACTCTTTATGTGACAGCTAATCCAGCCACTGAAGCCAGTGATGTTTCTTCATGCTTGCTATGTAGGTCATGTTAACTGAGGCGGCCCTGTTGTGCTGTGTGCCCTCCTGTCCTGCAGGGGGTGCCCCAGCTGGCCCTATGTCTGTCGGAGGAGTCTGAAGATCACATCAAGGCGGCCACAGTCTGGTCAGTGGGCCAGATAGGGCATCACACCCCTGAGCACGCCAAGGCAGTGACCACAGCTAACCTGCTGCCCAAAATACTGGAGCTTTACATGAACGCCAGCAGCTCTGAGGACCTGCAGACCAAAGTAAGGGTTTCCTCTGAGCATCCAGAGAATCAGCCTTTTTTCTCACAGCACAAAGTCACAAAAGTGTTTGCTTATGAGTTTTTATGTTTACATGACTTTTAAACAAACTAATTACAGTCAAAGGCCCTGTTATCAGCGACAGAAGTACACCTTCGGTACACTCTCAGCTGCACTAAAAGAGAATAGGATTAGAATTGAGGAGCCTTTTTTCAGCCATGCAAAGTATCTAAAATCAAAGGTTAGCTGGGAAGTTATTCAAAATAACTATTTATTTGATTGGTTTTGGACATCAGCACCAAGCTGTTCCACTTGGAAGTTACACTTCTGTCCCAGTCTTTGCTGTTTTTAAGGACTCGTTGAGTCTAGTGTCTCTCTCCTATAATGTCTCTGAGTGGGATCAGATGTGAAGGACTTTCTTTTCTTGTGCACTTTTAGAGTAAAAAAGCTCTGAAGAGTGTTCTGCAGAAGTGTACTTACCTGCCAAGTCTGGAGCCCCTCCTCTATGAAGCTCCAAGCAACATCCTTAAACATGTGGTCTGTCAGTTCAGCAAGGTAACTCTACAAGCAGGACCATAATCTGATCAAGTCTTTTTTTATTTGGTGTCATTTAGTTCAAGACTGTTTTTCACGCCAGTCCTTTTCTCAAAGGTGCTGCCTCATGACAGCAAAGCACGGCGCCTCTTTGTGACCAGTGGTGGACTGAAGAAAGTCCAAGAGATCGAGGCTGAGCCCGGGTCTCCCCTCCAGGAATACATCAATGCCATCAACGGCTGTTTCCCTGAGGAGATAGTGAGGTACTGTGTTCCTCCCAGCAGACACGCTCGTGCATGCTGGAGTATACTTTTTGATTTCCGAACCTTGTTATCCACAGCAGATCATCTGACCATATATCATGTTTTTAGAAAAAATGTGACTAAATGAAAAGCTTAAAAATGAACAAAAATGGAGGTTATATTATGGAGATTCTTCAGTGGCATTTACAGTATGTGTCATCTGTGTTTCAGGTACTACTCTCCTGGCTACTCGGAGGCCTTGCTTGAGCGATTAGATGACTACCAGCCGGCCTGACATTGGCTCACAGCACACATCCGGTGTCCATATTCATGTGAAGATATACTGTGCCTTTACAAATGTTTTTCTTTTCCTTTTGTTTTTCCCCAAAAGTTTTCATGCCAACTGTTAAATTAAAAGGCCGAATATCCAATAAAAAGACAGCATCCAGGCTAGAATGTTCTCTTTAGATGCTACACCTGCTTCTGCAGTCTAACGGTGCATCCGCAGCCAGCGTGACATTTCATGCAGTTGGAAGTGTTTCTGTTCTGCACAGAGAGGTCAAAGGTCAGGTTCAGTGACACAGCAGCAGGTAGTGGAGATTTAATTAGGCTGTGTGCTCGCTGACACGTGGATCTGACTCAGCCCCCGTCTAAGCTCCTCAGCTCCTGAGACAGAGACATCAAAGTCATACTCTTGGATAGAGACATGTTACAGCGTTATTTCTTTACTTGGCTCATGGCGGGAAACAGATGGCTCTTATATAAAAGCTCGTGTCCATCGGTGCTTGTTATTACGTCACATAATGCAGAAAAGCAACAAAATAAATAAATGCATTAAAAGAAAAGAAAAAAACATGACAATGAATTCACCTGGCGTGTGCTCATCGGCTGCTGAGCTCTGCAGGGCTCAGTCTGCCCCCTGGCGGTTGTGAATATCGCTGCACTTCAGCTGCGCGCGTGTGCGTGCAGCAGCTGCGGCGCACATGGCGAGTCGCTCTTTGTTTATTGTGTGCTGGGTTTCCCGCACTGAAGGGACGGTGCGGGTCAGCCCCGGCCTCTTACCGCTGCACGGGTCTGGACGCATCACGACAGCAGCTGCCGACACACTCTCTTATTATAAAAATAAAGACGTGTGCTCGCGACAGGACGCATTTGATCGCCTGTAGCGTCACGTGAATTGTACAGAATGATTGTAGACCAAACGCTGTTCTCTTACTGCACTGATCGTTTTATATTTGTTTTTAAATTTGTATTTATTTATTTGGGTTTTGAACCACTTGCAGCTCCGTGTGAATAATAAACATGCTGTAGAGGTTACAGGTTAAAGAAGCATGAAGCACGAATTAGAGAAATGTTTGAAAACATAAGCTGCCGTGTTTCTTCCTCATTGGACTCTCGTACTGAAAAGTGTGAAACCTTCATCCAAAGCCACAGGACGACCAGAGGCAAAGTGTTTTAATTTTGTGCGTTCGTTCCCCTTAAACTACTGTACGAAACTAACACGTACAATAACAATAATAATAAAAAACAACAACTAAAAAATTGGATATAGTTATACTGATCCAAAGACTTGTAATACGAGTACATGACGCTGATGGTTCATTAGTTTAGTATAAAATTTT